CACGAGTGCATTACCCTGGATCCGACCTGGTTGCGGGGGGGCCTGGGCTGGAGGGAAAACCTGCTACCTGCTCCAGGCCTTCAAATCATTCATCATCCTGTGACTCCATGTCTCCCCTGGAGTCATCCGGGCCTGCAGACTGGGGAGTTTCTGGAGGACAGAATTCTGGCACTGAGTCCCCCTCACCCACTATGCTGTCACCATGTGACTTCTGCCCACTCACATGCACACTAAGCAATGACACAGTGTTCCCCCACAACACACACACACACACACAGCTTCCCTCTTGCGAAGTGGGGCTACAGAGCCTGTGCTCCTAAGATTCCACCCAAACCCTCACAAGTGCCCACAGGAAACCTGGCCCTGAGTCTCCTGCAGCAACCTTGGCCCTCCATCAGCCTGGGCTGTGGACCACCCCTCATGATGCCATCTGCTTGCAGGCACACAGGAACAAGGCCGAGCACAGCCTCAACCTGAGTCAGCGTCTGCAGCACAAAGCAGTCATTCCACCAAGCCTGTGCTGCCTCCCCACTCCTGTGTCCTTGCTGAGCCTTGTCCAGTGCTACCCCTTCCTTCCTGCTCAAACCCTTGTGCAGGAGCCCAGTGAGCTCAAGGCCACCCCTAGCTATCCAAATCCTGTGCCTGTGGGAATCTAGATGTCCACCACCCCTAGGTGATCAGGGCCCTAGACCTGGTTGTGCTAAGAACAAATACACATACAACACAGGAAGTGTAATACTCTGAGCTCAAGGGAAAAGATTTCCTTCACCTCCTTTTTCTTAGAATATTCGGTTTAGCAATCTTGTAATTTCCTTCTCCGTATCTTTGAAATATACGTAAATCCTTTCAAGCTGAAGAAACTTCTTTCAACTTTCAGCTCTAGGAATCTTTTTTTTTTTTTTTAAAGATTTTATTTATTAGAGAGAGCGTGCGAGAGAGCACGAGTAGAGGGGAGGTGCAGAGGGAGAGGGAGAAGCAGACTCTGCTGAGCAGGGAGCCTGATGTGGGTCTTGATCCCAGGACGCTGGGATCATGACCCTAGCCAAAGGCGGATGCTTAACAGACTGAGCTACCCATGTGCCCTCTAGGAATGTTCTTTCTGGGCTTGCGGCAACATGGCTAAACGCACCAAGAAGGTCGGAATCGTGGGTAAATACAGGACCGGTTATGGTGCTTCCCTCAGGAAAATGGTGAAGATTATAAAATAAGCCAGCACGCCAAGCACACTTGCTCCTTCTGTGGCAAAACCAAGATGAAAAGACGGGCTGTGGGGATCTGGCACTGTGGCTCCTGCATGAAAACTGTCACTGGTGGCACCTGGACCTACAACACCACTTCTGCCATCACAGTAAGTTCTGCCATCACAGTAAAGTCGGCCATCAGAAGACCAAAAGAGTTGAAAGACCAGTAGAAGCTCCACCATTTGATTAAACAAAAATTAAAAAAAAAAAAAGAAAGAAAGAAAACTCTTTGGTGTTTATGTTAAATTGCTTATTATTTTATATTATAAAATGGACAGGGAATTGGCTTAAGTAGAACACAATCATAGAAAGCTTCTGCTAGGCAAATTTACGAAGACAGAACTGGGAATATCCCATAGGCAGGGAGATCAGAAACCTAGAGCCCTCTGCCTCCCAGCTCCATCCAGAATCCTCTCTTCTCACGCTTTTCCATGTGTGGCCCCACTGGGCTCTCCCCTCGGTGAGCAGATTAGACCAGGTCAGAGGTTTGGTTTGCTGTTCTTCCTGTGTCTCTGGTAGATGCTAACATTTTGCTGAAATCCAAAATCAGATATATGAGAGCAAAGATTGTATGGTTTGGTGCCTTGATTTCTGTTTTTCTCATTAAGTTCAGTGCCTTGAAAAGGGTTGGGACAGGCCCCACCAGAATGTGCCACTTTGGCATGTGGATTATTTGGACCTGAAGGCAATTGAGACCCTGTGGGCTCAAGAGAAACTTTTGCTCCTACCTTAACTACATAGAGGAATCTAAATTGGGGGCTCTTTCTGGTTATTACAGGAGATAAATTTTATCTGAGTGACCCATCTGTTGGCAGGACAAAAATCTACCACTGTGGGGGAGCAAGAATTCGTGTCCCCTTCAAGAGTTCTTCTAGCTGGACTAAGAATCAAATTGGAAGGAAAAAAAAAGGACTCAAATTGACACGAGAGAGCTTAACGTGAGAAAACCAAATGTAATAGCATACCTATGGGGAATACCACGTAGACACGGAAATTTTAAATACAGTCAGGCAGAATGAGATGTATATGTCATTCTGGAGTAAGGAGAAAGGGGTAGGGATCTTGGGTTTCAGAGGGAAGGAATGCACCTCACAGGGTGATAAGAAAAACAGGTGTTTGGAAATTAGAGTTTTGCCCACCTGCATATCCCCTTTGATCTCACGGAAGTAAATTCCTTTCTTGTCTCACCACCGCTTGTTTCTCTGCCTTTGGATTTTGTCAGGGGCCAATGGCCAAACCTGGTCTGTTTGGGAACCCCCTGTGCCCCAGCTACAAAATGATTGCCACATTCAGGGCACTGGCTGACTCCATTGGTAGAGCATGCGACTCTTGATCTCAGGGTTGTGAGTTTGAGCCCCACCTTTGGGTGTAGAGATTACTTAAAAATAAAATCTGTAAGAAAAAAATGATTACCACAGTCAAGCTAACGATTATATCCCTCACCTCTCATAGTTAAGATCTTTTTTTTTTTTTAAGATTTTATTTATTTATTTGACAGAGAGAGACACAGCGAGAGAGGGAACACAAGCAGGGGGAGTGGGAGAGGGAGAAGCAGGCTTCCCGCCGAGCAGGGAGCCTGATGCGGGGCTTGATCCCAGGACCCTGGGATCATGACCTGAGCCGAAGGCAGACGCTTAACCACTGAGCCACCCAGCGCCCCAGTTAAGATCTTTTGTGTGTGTGTGGTGAGAACACTTAAGAGGCTCTTCCCAGCAAATTGCAAGTGTACAATGCAGTATTATTAACTATACATGCTGTACATTTGATGGTTGGTGCTCATGGATCCTGCATAATGAACCTTTTTACCATTTGACCAACACCTGAACATACTCCCCCCACCGCCTTAGCCCCTTGTAACAAACATGCTCATCTTCACTTTTATGATTCTGACTTAAGATCCCACATGATGATGGAGCAGAATGTAAGCTGAGGGCAAAGCACTAGCTTACACCCCGCAACGCCACCTCCCCCTACCCACCCCCCCAGGTGGGATACTTGTGACATTCCTCAGGCCCCCTGACTGCCCTAGAATAAAGGAAAGGGAAAAACAAATGGTTAACTGATAGAGATCACAGTCCTGCAGGACTGGAGTATCCATCAGTTTGCAACTGTCTTAAAGATTTACAAGAAAAAAAGCAATTTCATCAATAACCAAACTTCCAGAAACCTGTAGACTCAATTTCCTGCCCTAACATCACCATCCCCTCCATAGGATAGAAAATCTCATATAATCAGTCACTCCTCACAACCCCAGTGCAGCTCTTTCTTGTCCCTGTGCTTCAATGAAACCACCTTTTTGCACCAAAGACTTCTCAAGAATTCTTTCTTGGTCATCGGCTCCAGACCGACAACTCCAAACCATATCAGTGCGTATATGTGATTTCATACAGTACCTGTTTTTCTCTGTGTGGCTTCTTTCACCTAACAAATGTCTCCTCCAGTTTTATTCTGTTGCTGCAAGTAGGATTTTCTTCTTTTCTGAGGCTGATATATATACCAAGAAGAAATGAGATGGGAGACCTCTACCAGGAAGACAGCTAATACCAGAGAGAATTTTTTTATATCAGAAAGAATTACCTGCCTGGTGTGGCAAACATTTGTTTTCCAAACATTTGTTCTTTCCATTCTCCTGTGAATGTACTTCCCCTTTTTGAAACTGTAAATCCCTACCCCCATCTCCTTAGGTCAGAATGGCATATAAGCATCAATTGCCTGTCTTTGAGCCTCATATCTTTGGGATTCCTGTAATAAATGAATTTGTTTTTGTCCCGTGAATCTGTCTTATGTCAGTTTGATCATTAGACCAGCCAAAGAATCTAGATGCAAAGAACAAAAAAGTTTCTTTTCCTACACATTCATCCCAGTCACCAGGACAAATATAGCAAGACCACTTCATATCTTACAGTGAGAAACCACTTAATATTTTCTAGAATGGCTAAAATAAAGAAAAAAGGATAACACCAAATTTCCTTGAAAATGTTGAAGAATTAAAATTCTCATATATTGCTGATGGGAGGGTAAGTTGTACATTCACTTTGGAAAATTGTGTGGCAGTTACTTAGGAAAATAAACATTTACCTACTGGAAGGAGAGCAGAATTTGTCATCTCAAAATAGTTCTCTTTGGTGTAAGAATTATTTTAGGCTGGTTATTTTAAAGAAAGAGCAAAGGAAAAGCTGTGAAACCCAGGGAAAGTTTCCTTTTGAAAGAGACATTTGCATTTATAAGGGAAAACTCCATTTGTAAGGGTGCCTCCCTCCATGCAGCGGAAAGAGGGAGAATGTGTCATCCCAGAAACTGACCAGTGGAGAAGCCATGGATCTCAATCTGGATCATGTGTGGAGTTTCAAAAATGATCATTGCTGGTGCCTGTCCCCCCTCTCCAATTCTGTCCATTGGTTTGGGTGAAAACAACAGTGTTGTGTTAATTAAGGGCTCCAGGTGATTCTAAGTGAGGCCAAGGTTAAGCACGAGGGCTTTGCAATATTTTATGAGTCGAGAGCAGTCTTTGGCTCTAAGAGAGGTAACAGGGTCTCTGCTACATGAGTCTGGGAGGGTCGGGTCCAAGCAGCACACGATTCCTATGCTGAAGGGGTTCCTATGCTGTAGCTGAATTTGTGAGCATCTGTGGGAGGGAAGTCCCAGAAAACAGAAGGAAAAGTCAGAGATTGGTCTCCAAGTAGGAGCTCATAGTTTCTGAATAGCTCCTGACACAAAGGACTAGGAAGTTGGGCCTTTTCTACATTTGCAAATCTGACCCACTGGCTAGCAGTTTGCAGGTGAAGAAGCTCTGTTGGTGACTTTAAAGGCATATTCTCCTGATGCAGCTGTGATTTCTCCACAAGTATCTTGCGAGAAAGAGAGCTAAAGGACCAGAAGAGGAAAAAAGAAATGGCCAGTTCTCAGGTAAGCCTTGCTTCCCAGGTCAGAGGCAGTGTCATCTTTTCCTTCTGAATTTTTGTGCATTTAGAAATTGCAAATGTTTATTCCTCTAGTTCTGACGTTTCTGCCTCATGAGTGTTTTCACCTACTTTTTAAAGATTTTTAAGTAATCTGTATACCCAATGTTGGGCTCAAACTCACAACCCCAAGATCAAGAATCGCATGCTCCACTGACTGAGCGAGCCAGGTGCCCCTTCACCTACTTTTTAAAACCTTTTAAAAAATAATACTCAAGGTTAGTCTTTAGAACACTTCTCTCATATTTCAGAGGCTTCTCTCCCTTCTCTCCAACCTGACTTCCAATAGGGTGACAACAATTGTCACTTTGAATTAATGTCCTGCAACCATTGAAAATACTCCCTTTGTGACAGTTCCACAAGGGAAGAAATGTGCACAAATAAGCAGAATGGTTGGATATTAGGCCCAGAATGACTCAAAGTTTTGGAAAAGAAAGAGTCTTGCTCTTCAGAATGTGAAAAAAAGATGCTCTATTTAAAATATGCTAGAAAGGGGCGCCTGGGTGGCTCAGTCGTTAAGCGTCTGCCTTCAGCTCAGGTCATGATCCCAGGGTCCTGGGATCGAGCCCCGCATCGGGCTCCCTGGTGGGCGGGAAGCCTGCTTCTCCCTCTCCCACTCCCCCTGCTTGTGTTCCCTCTCTCTCTGTGTCTCTCTGTCAAATAAATAAAATCTTAAAAAAAAAGAAATCTTAAAAAAAAAATAAAATATGCTAGACATTACAGGACATGGGAGCTATGTGTGGCTTGAAATTTACATAAATCCACTGTTTTCTCATAATTAGATTAATCTTCTGATTTATTTTTGTGGGCCACAAGGACACAGCAGTAATAATGTGTCCTGTGTGTCTCAGGCGCTGGTACTATTTTGCTTCCTTACAGCTGATGTTAATTTTGTTGACTTGGCTTGGTGCCCTCTGCCAGATTGCTCCTCTATAATGTTAATAATTTCCCTTTTATCATTCATGCGGATGTGAGATGGATTTACTGAAAGATGTGCAGAAGCCTTCACAATTAAATTGGAAATTCCTTTCTTATATGAATTCCACTGGATAATGAAGGCTCTCACTTTTGTGCACTGGAGATACTGACTGACTTCTGGGAACGGTGGTTCTGAGCCTATAAATTTCCATTTTACTCCACCCATGTCACAGACCTACTCTTCTCTTTGTATTTTCAGAAAAATAAAACAACATAATTAACACGTTCAAGTGTCTTAAAATTCTGAAACATAATGTAGCACAAATGACTGAAACAAAAACTGTCAAATACTGGACTCAGAAACTGGCTATTTTCTTTATATCATTCTGTGCCATTTGTCTTTATAGTGTGATTAAAAGAAGCATCATCTTCCACGAGTAGATACATAAATTTTATGTCATTGAAAATGTTCCTTAATTTAAATTGCCATGACATTTTCCCCACGGACCCTGAGATCATGTAATTACTTTTTTTTTCTTTTTAAAGATTTTATTTATTTATTTGAGAGAGAGAGAATGAGAGACAGCATGAGAGGGAGGAGGGTCAGAGGGAGAAGCAGACTCCCTGCTGAGCAGGGAGCCCGATGTGGGACTCGATCCGGGACTCCAGGATCATGACCTGAGCCGAAGGCAGTCGCTTAACCAACTGAGCCACCCAAGCGCCCTTTGTAATTACTTTTTAAATATATGGATGTGTACATAAAATGTAAAAGGGAGGCTGATTTTTTGTGGATCCCTTCTTGTTTCCAACACTCTTCTCAGGTTTGACACCGGCTATGAAACACTGCTTTAGAGTCTTCTCTGTACATTGACCTGTGTGTCATTTGAGATCACTCTAGGCTAGGTTAATAACCTGATCCCTTCCATGTACTAGCTGTTTGACAAAATATTTGCATAAAAGTAGAAGAATAATATGTTCGCTCTCTTAGATTATTATTATTTTGCATTAATTTATGAAAAAATTGCTAGAATGCTATCTAGTAACTAGAAATGCTCAAAAAGTATTGTTGCCATTCTTGCTATACTAGTAAACCTGTAAGTGCTATAAAACGCGTTCAGTTCCAAGTCCTCCAAGAATTCTTGCCTTTGAGTTCTACCTCTTTGTTATTCAAAAATGTATCCCTTGGCCCATAGGCTACTGCGTTATTAGAAACACAGACTAGGATCCCACCCCAGAACTCTTTTTTTTTTTTTCTAAGATTTTATTTATTTATTTGACAGAGAGAGACACAGCGAGAGAGGGAACACAAGCAGGGGAAGTGGGAGAGAGAGAAGCAGGCTTCCCGCTGAGCAGGGAGCAGGATGTGGGGCTCGATCCCAGGACCCCGGGATCATGACCTGAGCTGAAGGCAGACGCTTAACAACTGAGCCACCCAGGCGCCCCGACCACCCCAGAACTCTTGAACAGAATCTGCATTTTAGCAAGATCTCCAATGCACTATTGTGAAATTCTAACTCACATTAGAATTTGATACATATATTTGTAACCCACCAAAATGTTCCATCTAAGAAATAGACGCAATTTATACTGTATGATATAAACACAGTACTCAACAATGTGTATGCCTGTGTTCATGCCTTCATTTTACAACTTATCTTGGAGAAATACACAGTATTTATATTGGTTTTGTGGATCATATGCCATCCTCTTACCTCAGAGCTAGAGAATACATTCAAGCGTATTACCATGCTAAAAATCATCTTACTGCATAAAGCAAGAAACTCACTTAAGCCAGAACCAGTTCTAATACAACTAAATGAACATGAGTTCACTCCTTGCTGAGTATCAGATAGAAACTACACCAGGTGGGGTTGTCACACAAAGGAAACTTTGTATCAAATAAGGAGATCACAAGGAATAACTTCCAAAGCCTTGACTCCCCAAGCAAAGCTGAGTGGGTTCCTTTTATTTAGGGTTAGGATGAATGTTTAGAAACGGGGAGCCTTGTCATCTTATGTAGCACTGGGCATAAGGTCACACATGTGTCTTAAAGAAACAGGTCTACACATACTTTGTATGTTACATAAATGTGGCTTGTTCTCCTTTGGTGAAGATTCAGTGTTATAATGAAGTAAATAGAACTGCCGGTTACTCCTTGGTCCATCTGTGCAGGCAAGTAGGGGGTTAAGCTCCCATAAATCATCCCATATGGGCTGAGATTTTAATTTGTCCTTTGGGGCAGCTCTCATTCTGGTGAGAGCTATTGGTACTAACTTTAACCAATATTCCTGTTTCCTGGCACAACTTTGCCAGAGTCTATTTTAGGGTTCTGCTGGCCCATTCTGTCTTCCCAGAAGACTGAGTCTCCAGGCTGAGTGTAACCTCCACTTGATACTTCAGGCCTTGGCTACCTCAGATATGATTTTGGATATAAAAGCTGGCCCATTGTCACTCTGGACTGACCTTGGCAACTGAAACAGGAATTTTCTCCTTTTCCAAGGCCCTTGTTACTTTGTTAGTTCTTTCTGTCCTTCAGGGAAAGGCTTCAGTCCATCTAGTGAATGTATCTACAAATACCAAAAGGGATTCGACCCTTCCAGGGGCCACTGGCATTACAGTAAAGTCTGTTCACCAATCCTCCCCTGGCATTGCCCCCTGAATTTGAGTTGCTCTAGCTAGAGGGGTACCAGAGGTCTGGTTTGTACATTACTAGTCTACAGTAGGCGCATTGGTTCGTTATTTTCTCAATTTCCTTCACCACTGGGGTGCTCATAATCTTTAGTAGCCATAGGTATAAGGCTTCCTTACCATAATGGGATGAGTCAGGTGCATTCTTCAGGAGTCTACAAGCTGTCTCCTTGGTACCCAGTTTCTCAGGTTGTTATTCATCATCCATCCTCTGACTGTTGGGGACCACTGACAGCCCAATTTTACAGCCTCTTTTATCTCATTGTGGAAGTAGGAAGAAGTGCACTTATATAATGGTAGAGAAGAAGTTACTGGCAAATACGAAGTCTCCCCAGACCTGGGTATCCTTTTTATGGCTGCATTAGCCAAATTATTTTCCCCTGTTACCTCAGAATTGCCTTTTTGAGGCCTCTGCAATGAACTGCTGCCACTTCTTTAGGGGTATGTATGGCTTCTAGCAGGCTTTGGATTTCCTTGACATGTTGAATTTGTCCGTTTTTGTATTTAGGAGCCCTCTTTCCTGCCATACGGCTCCATGGGCATGAATTATGGAGAAGGCCTACTTATTTATTTTATTTTATTTTTTTATTTTTTTAAAGATTTTATTTATTTATTTGACACAGAGAGAGATAGCTAGCAGGAACACAAGCAGGGGGAGTGGGAGAGGGAGAAACAGGCTTCCTGCCAAGCAGGGAGCCTGATGTGGGACTCGATCCCAGGACACTGGGATCATGACCTGAGCCAAAGGCAGACCATTAATGACTGAGCCACCCAGGCACCAGTATTTATTTATTTTTTAGAAGATTTTATTTATTTATTTGAGAGCATGAGATTGCATGAGTGGGGGGAGTGGGAGAAGCTGGCTTCCTGCTGAGCAGGGAGCCCAATGCAGGGCTCGATCCCAGAACCCTGGGATCATGACCTGAGCTGAAGGCAGACGCTTAACCAACTGAGCCATCCAGGTGCTCCTAAACCTTTGTCTTTTAACCATTTACATAGAGCTCTGACCTGCTCCCAGTGCATGCTTCCAGTGATGGAAGCTGCTGCCTCCTTTGTCTTGGATTTTAAGTGAAGGAAGAGGTGCACAAGGGCCAAACAGCCAGGGTGATTTAAATTGGGAATAACAATAAACAGACCAAACAACCAGGTGGGATGGAGATTTCTTTCATTCTCCTAGACCTTAGACTAGTCTCTGTTAGATCACTCCAGTTTCATCAGGATGGAGCATCTAAGCCTCTGAATGGCTGGTCATGGGGTCTTCTTTCACTGGGGATGTCTAGACTCCACTCCAATGAGTATTTAATTCCCCCACAGTATCCTGTTATGTCAGCTTGTCCAGACTTGGTGAGACCACTCTAGTTTACCTCTGAAAGCTGTGGCACAGATCTGGTGTAACTTATACAACAGATGTCCTTCTAAGTAAAAATCATTAGGGTGGTCACTAGATTTCAGGTGAGATCAGAGGAGCAGGCTGGGAGTCACAAGCACCAGGAAGTAAGAGCTCCCATGAGGCACCTGGCTGGCTCAGTCAGTGGAACATGCGACTCTTGATCACAGGGTCATGAGTTTGAGCCGCCTGTTGGGTGTAGAGATTACTTAAAACGAAAAAAGTGAGAGTATCCCCCCCCACCTCCCACCATCCCCTCCAGGAATCTGCCCTTGTCCCAGTAGCTTGAATGGGTTAACCAGGGTGAGTTGCCAGTGTCCAACACTCCATCCATTGGAAACCAGGGAACCAGAGGGCGGAAACTCAGGACACCTGTCCCTCGGTAAGTGAACTAAGGTATAGAAACTCCACCAGGTGGAGTTGTCACACAAATGAAATTTTATTTGCAGCAAATAAGGAGATTACAGGGAATAACTTCCAAAGCCTTGACTCCCCAAGCAAGGGTGAATGGGTTCCTTTTATTTAGAGTTAGGATGAATATTTAGAAATGGGAGCCTTGTCATCATATGTAGAGGTGGGCATAGGTTGCACATGCGCCTTAAGTAAATAGTTCTATACATACTTTGTATATTATGTAAATGAGGCATGAGCAGAGATTTTAGTATTATAATGAGGTAAAAGTAAGTGTCAGTCACTCTGTGGGTCACTCTATGGTCCATCTGTGCAGGTGTGAGTCAGGGGTTAAACTCAAACTGTGCTGGGTGGTAGGGACCAGCATGAGCTCTTTGTCATGGCAGTTGTTACTACTTGCAGGGTAGTTTCTGTTTCCATCACAGGAGACTATGCACATGGGGTCTTTTGCCTGAAGAAAAAGATAAGGTGGAAAGAAGAGGTTAACTAAAATGTGGGACAAGGGTCAGTGGGTACAAAGCAGGTAAGCAGTGAAGGTCAGGTCTTGGGGTCTAGTTGGTGACATTAACCTCCTCTTTCATCTTAGGGACTGTGAACTCTGTGAGAACTCTGTGAACTCTGTCAATGGCCACTTGGTCACTGTGGTATTTATTGCAGGGACTGCTGACATTCAGGGATGTGGCCATAGAATTCTCTCAGGAGGAGTGGGGATGCCTGAACCTCGTTCAGCGGGAATTGTACAGGGATGTGATGTTAGAGAACTACGGACACCTCCTCTTCCTGGGTGAGAATAACTCCTTCCAGATTTCCCAAAACACACTCAGGGTTTTCTTCCTTCCATTGTAGACTGTCTCTTGGAAGATTCCTCTTTGCATGACTGGAATTCAGATCCAGGCAGAAAGGGAAATAAGTAGGAGTTTGTAGATGTACAGAAAAATCTTCATGATGTTTGCTTTTCAGCTTTAGCTTCCCCTTCCTTAAAGGGGTAACATCATCACTTGTGTAGATTAGTGGCAATTCTAAACATTGAGTGGCATAAAATGATATTGCCTACATCTTAAACTCCCTATTTCTACTCTTTATCGTAGCAGTAGTACTTGGAAGTGGAGGTCAGGATGTGAACATTGGAAATCCCTCCTGCATGTTCTTCTTCTTCTTTTTTAAGATTTTATTTATTTATTTGACAGAGAGAGGGAGTGAGTGAGAGAGGGAACACAAGCAGGGGAGTGGGAGAGGGAGAAGCAGGCTCCCCACTGAGCAGGAAGCCCAAAGGGGGGTTCGATCCCAGGACTCTGGGAGCATGATCTGAGCCGAAGGCAGACGCTTAACCGACTGAGCCACCGGGGGCCCCCCTTCTGCATGTTCTAAAGGGGCTGTTGGGCAACAGCTTTTGGGAAATCATTTTCTAGAATTCTATAATGTCCTCTCTTCTCTACTGAGCTCAGTTGTGGATTGAAAGTTAGAATCTCCAACAATACTCATTTTCCTTTTTTTCTAATAAACCGATCTTGTGTCAAAGCCAGATCTGTATCCTTCCATCCAGGTAGGTGGGAATGAATTAAGCAGATGATGGAGGTGAGGCCCAAAGTTCCAGGAAGAAGCCAGACCTGAAAATGTGATTTGGGGAGCTCTGCTTCTACAGAAATGATTGTGAGAAGCCTAAGTTCATTTCTCTTCATCTCACAGAGGGTCATCTGTCCAACACTATTGTGCTCTTATATCCTCCAAGAATTCTCCTTCAGCTCCAGAGATCTCTATCACATCCTCAGTGCATAACAACAACAACAACAACAAAAACAACAACTTCCCTTGGACTGTGAGGGCCTCAGTGATCTGTTTGCTCTTCAGTCCTTAGTACCTGTGAACATCTGTGCACATAGAGGAACTCTATTAAGCTATCTCTTAAGTTTAATTTGTTGGAAGTGCGTGAGAAAAGTGGTGCAGTCAATGAGATTTGGTGCAGAAATTCCAGAAACATTGGGGACAGAAGTGATGTGTTGTCTGCTTTATTATTTCCAAACCTCTGGCAGTTTCAAACATGACCCCATAAAATTCAGACTCAGTAATTTCATCATAGCACTGAGAACTTCCCTAAAATGAGAAAATGTAATTATTTTACTTCAAAATGTCTTTTTTTGTTATGCACTATCATTTGAAATTTCACTTATATGCTCAAATCCACAATGATAAAATAGTTAATGTATCTATTTACCTCCTAGAATTTTTTTAAAAGATTTTATTTTTTTTTTAAATAATCCCTACACTGAACATGGGGCTCAAAGTTACAGCCCTGAGATCAAGAGTCGCATGCTCTACTAACCGAGCCAGCCAGGCGCCCAACCTCATAGAATTCTTAAATGAGTGCTATAGAGGAAGTTAGAACATTGTCCACCATATAGTACAGTCTCTGTTACCTTATTTCTGTATAACTTATGTCATTTTATAATTGTCTTGTTTTGTACAAAAATTCCTGGGACTGTCCTGAATATTCTCATTTTTTGATTGGATCTATGTGAAATTTGTGTGTGCCTTTAGATTCAAAAGTTCTGATATGACAGAACTTGAATGCACGCATGTTTTATAAGAAGCTAGATAATAGGGGCGCCTGGGTGGCTCAGTTCGTTAAGCGACTGCCTTTGGCTCAGGTCATGATCCTGGAGTCCCTGGATCGAGTCCCGCATTGGGCTCCCTGCTCAGCAGGGAGTCTGCTTCTCCTTCTGACCCTCCCCCCTCTCATGCTCTCTCTCTATCTCATTCTCTTTCTCAAATAAATAAATAAAATCTTAAAAAAAAAAAAAAAAAGCTGGATAATAGGGGCACCTGGGTGGCTCAGTCGTTAAGCGTCTGCCTTCAGCTCAGGTCATGATCCCAGGGTCCTGGGACGGAGCCCCGCATCAGGCTCCCTGCTCAGTGGGAAGCCTGCTTTTCCCTCTCCCACTCCCCCTGCTTGTGTTCCCTCTCTCGCTGTCTCACTCTCTCTGTTGAAAAATAAGTAAAATCTTAAAAAAAAAAAAAAAGTTAGATAATAGTTGGCATGCATATTCATTAAAATATTTGGTTCCTAGGGGTGCCTGGCTGGCTAACCTGGTAGAGTATGTGACTCTTGATCTCAGGATCATGAGTTCGAGCCCCACGTTGGATATAGAGATTACTTAAAAATTAAAAAAATATTTGGTTCATAAATTTAAATTTACATTAGTCAAAATGTTATTAGGTTTTTGATCCACTTCCCTCAATGTGTATCTGTATCATGGTATAACTTAATCCCAAATATTTATTTTATATATTAGTGATGTTCACCATATTATACAGCTTTCATTTGTTCCTTTATTTAGAAATACAGGATTTTTTTTCTTCTACAGGTTGGCTTATAGCCTTTACATTTAGTGTAAGAGTAGGAATGATCTATTAACACCATAATAAGCGTCTATTGTGCCTTTTAAATTTTCATTCATTGAACTTTTCATGTGAGCTTTTCATGATTGATTATAAAGCATTTCCTGTGAAAAGTTCCTTCCATACAGTACATACCCATGATTCAAACTGCTTACGCTTCATGAATTCACAGTCATGGTTAATATTTATAGTTATAATAGAAACTGTTTTTAATAGTACATCTATGTTGTATTAAGAATTTGGGTTGTTAAATTTTCTCTTGTGTTCCAGTACTATCACTATGTGTTGTTTTGGTAGGATCCCCAATATTGATTAATTTAGGTTGTTACCTGTATATTATGATTTTGGATCGTAATTTTCAACTCTAACTTTAAAGATAATGTAAGGCTTGATTCAAATGTGTATCATCTATATGTATATTACAAACAAAATTATCTGCTTTTGTCTATAAAAATATTACCTGGTGTGTTCATGACTTCTTGTTTATTTCTATTCTTGGTTAATGGTCAGTGGTTGCTTTATTCTGTCTAGATGAGTAGTCATGAAAATGAAGACTGTTTCATCATCTGTTCTCTTTTAGGTATTTTAACAAATTTAATTGTGGTTAAAAATAACACATGGCAAAATTTACCGTCAAACCATTGTTAGATGGGCAGGTTAGTGTTGTTAAGTATATTCACATTACTGTGTAAACTATCTCTGGAATTTTTTCTTTTTGCAAAAGTGAAACTTAAGATCTCTTAACCACCATTTTTTCCCTCTACTGTAAGTCCCTGGCACATACCACTATAATTTCCTTTGAGTTTGACTGTCTTAGATTACTCACAAAAGTGGAGTCCTATTGTATCTGTTGTTGTGACTCCTTTATTTCATTTAACGTACTGTCCCCAAGGCTTATCTAAGTTATATCAAGTCACAAAATCTGTTCCTTTTGGAATACTGAAAAGTGTTCCATGATATGTATATGCTACATTTTATTTATTTATTCATCTGTGCGTGGGCATTTGTGTGGGTTCTTCCTTTATTATTGGTTTTTGTGAATACAACTGCAATGGACATGGATGTGCAAATATCAATTTCAGATCTTCCTTTGAATTCTTTTGTATATAAACCTGGAAGTGGGATGGCTGGATCATAGGATAATTTTATTTGTAATGTTTTGAGGAAATTGCATAGTGTTTTTCATAGAAGTTCCACCATTTTATATTTCCTCCAGCTATTGTTATGGTACCACCCAGGAGAAGAGGGAAGTTAATGCTCAAAAGTCCTGAACTCCTTGATTGCTTGCAAGCGAAGATTTTTAAGGAGAAAATTGGGGGCAAGGGCCAAGACAGAGCAGAGACTGGACTCAGGCTCTCTCAGTGCTGACTGTGAAATCCAGCATTCTTTGGCTGCCTCCATAAAGGCGGGGTGGGGGACTGGTGTGGCGGGGAGGGAAGCCAAAACTCTATGCCTCCTAAGTAGGTTATGTTGAAGGAATTTAGAGGAAGTATGCTAACTATGAACACTAATGAAGGTTGGACCAAACCAGGTTGTGCCACGAGGGACCACAGTGCTGAAATTTCTCTGACTCTTTCCCTCATTCTAATCCCAGAAATCATGCCCAGGAGTGGAGATTTAATATGTTAATTAGACAAGCAGTATGTAAAAAAGCATGATGATCTTTAAGCATGCAGGTGCTAATAAATCCCTGCCACTCTATGCTTAGACAGCACTCTTTTCCCACCTAAGTTTCTTTTTAAAAATTCTCCCTGACCTCTCCTCGGGGAGTCAGCCTGACGACACTTTCTTTTGTGCTCTCTCCCTCATGCTGGAGCATAAGCCCCAGTAAAGCCTTGCCTGAAACTCCTGTTTGGCCTCTTGTCAAATTCTATTGTTCAGAGAGCCCAAGGGCACGGTTTGGTTCGGTATCACTAAGAAGATGGATGCTGTTCCTTGGAGACCCATGAGGCCGTGTTAGCAGATGTTCCTTGATAACTTCTTTTTTTTTTTAAAGATTTTATTTATTTATTTGAGAGAGAGAGAATGAGAGGGAGCACATGAGAGGGGGGAGGGTCAGAGGGAGAAGCAGACTCCCTGCCAAGCAGGGAGCCCGATGCGGGACTCGATCCCGGGACTCCAGGATCATGACCTGAGTCCTTGATAGCTTCTGGTGCTACCTCACCTAGTACCCCGGAGGTGTATTCTATCTCAAAAGACTTTGAATCCGAAAAATATCTTTCTTCTTTATCGTAGAGGTTTTATTAGGTGCATCTGGTAGTTATATCTGTAGGGTAGTGCTGATTACTTGTAAATTAGTGGCTTACATTCCTATCTCTTGAGCCTAGGCTCTATGTTCCTTATCTGGTACAGCTGTGCCAGGGGACATTCTTCCATCTGAACTGACAAGACCAATGCCGGCTTCATTAGATATATTTTGTGTTGATACTTTCAAGGAGCAAGAATTTCTGTCCCCTAGCTGGGGGACAGAAGGTCCTTCGAGCTAGACTAAGAACAAAACTGACATGAGACAGATGAAGAGGAGAAAAATCAAATTTAATGTCATAAGTATAAGGAAACCTACAGACATGGAAATCCCAAAGTCAGTCCAGCCAAATGAAGTATATATGGCATCCTGGACTAAGAATGGTCTGGTACTTTGAAGATAGGAATGTTTTTGCAAAGCAATAAGAAGAGCAGATGTTTGGTAATTAGATGTTTGACCTGGCACACAGATGGGTTACCTAGATAAAATTTATCTCCGATAATAGCCCTTATTCTGGGAAAGACCCCTAATGTAGATCCTTCTACATAGTTAAGAGGGGCCAAAGTTTCTCTTGGGCCTACAGGATGTCAGTTGCCTTTAACTCAAAAAACACTTTATGCCAAAGTGTCCCATCTGGGGACAGCCTGCCCTTGGCCCCTATGGAACATTGCTTTAAGGTAGTCTCTGTATATAGACCTGTGTGTCATGTTACATAAACTCTAGGTCAGACGACCTTGATTAAAACCTCATTTCTTCCATTTACTGGATGTTTGACAGAAGACTCTCATAAAAGAGGAAGAATAGTATATTTGAGGGGCACTTGGGTGGCTCAGTTGTTAAGCGTCTGCCTTCGGCTCTGGTCATGATCCCAGGGTCCTGGGATCAAGCCCTGCATCAGGCTCCCTGCTCAGCGGGGAGCCTGCTTCTCCCTCCCCCACTCCCCCTGCTTGTGTTCCCTCTCTCGCTGTGTCTCTCTCTGTCAAATAAATAAATAAAATCTTTAAAAAAAATGTTTGATCTCATAAATTATTTTTGTGGGTTTTTTTTGCATTAACTTATGAAAAACTGTTATAATGCTATCTAGTGACTAGTAAATGTTTAAAAATGATTGTTGTTTGCCATTCTTGGTGTTCTAGTAAAACCTGTAATTGCCCTAAAAACTGTTCCATTCAAGCTCATCAAATAACAGTATATTGGGAAATCATTTTCTAGAATTCTACAATCTCCTCTTTTTTTACTGAGGACAATCAATACTGGACTCCAAATTAGAGAATCTCCAGCAAAACTCATATTCCTTTTTTTAAATAAACAGGTCTTGCTACATCTAAGCCAGACCTGCTTACCCTTTTTGGAACAGAAGAAAAAGTCCTGGGATGCGAAGTGAAGGAAGACAGTCGCTGTACAACCAGGTAGGTGGAAATGAATGAAGCAGATGACACGTGAGTTCCAAAGGTCAAGGAGGAAGCCAAAACTTAAAATGTGGTTTGGGAAGCTCTGCTTGAATGGAAATAATTTTCCAGAATCTTCAGTACATTTCCCTTGCTATCACAGAGGGACAATCCTATCTAACACTCCCCATGTTCCTACATCCTCAAGGTTCTCCTTCTGCCCCCCTGGTCTTCCATCATATTCACAGGGAGGGCCAAAGACCCTTCCATAGCCTGTGAGGGCCTGTGTGATCTGTCTGCTTTTCTATGACTTTTGGGGACCTACGGAAATCTGTGCATATTTCTGAGGAACTCTATGCTAAGCCATTTTTTAAGTTCTATTTTTGCATCACGACAGACGTCAGTTGTTACCGTATTTCTTTTTTTTTTTTAAGATTTTATTTTTATTTATTTGACAGAGACACAGCGTGTTACCGTATTTCTTAAAACCTATGATTTTCTAGTTTTGTCTTATTTATATGAAGTTCCTATATGTGTCCTATATGTTTTCAATTTGTGATTAGTTTTCTGTGAAATTCAGCTGCGATTTTAGATTCTAAAGTTCTGATAGAACATGCTTAAATATACATGTGTTTTATAAGAAGTTAGATAATTAGTAAAAATCCCCATGTTAAAAGTTTTTTCGGGGCGCCTGGGTGGCTCAGTCGGTTAAGCGACTGCCTTTGGCTCAGGTCATGATCCTGGAGTCCCGGGATCGAGTCCCGCATCGGGCTCCCTGCTCAGCAGGAGGCCTGCTTCTCCCTCTCCCTCTGCCTGCCACACCCCCTGCTTGGGCTCGCTCTCTCTGTATGTCAAATAAATAAAATCTTTAAATAAAAAAAAAAAAGAATATGTTTGTGACATGAGTGTGGAGCAAAATAAAAACCTATGGGATTGAGGTCTGGCTGATTTAGAACCTCCAGTCCCAGAAGTCACTCTCTCTAGCACACAAAGCTGAGAGTCTTCAAAGTCCAGTGAAAACTGATGTGATGTGGGCCAGGAGCCCAAGGTCAAGAAAAGAATTATTGAGATATCGTCAGTGCAAAATCTGTTTTTTTGTTGTTTAAGAAGGCTCTGCGCCTGGGCACCTGGGTGGCTCAGTTGGTTAAGCGACTGCCTTCGGCTCAGGTCATGATCCTGGAGTCCCGGGATCGAGCCCCGCATCGGGCTCCCTGCTCGGCGGGGAGTCTGCTTCTCCCTCTGACCCTCCCCCCTCTCATGCTCTCTGTCTCCCATTCTCTCTCAGATAAATAAAAAAATAAAATTAAATTAAAAAAAAAAAGGTTTTTTCATAAATATAAATGCAATCAGCATTTGCAACCACTTTCCTCAAAATGTATCTGAAATGTGGCATAATTAATACCTAAATGTTTATATACCAGTGATATGCAGGATATTTTACAACTCATGGTGTTTATTCAGAAATGTTTTGTTGTTTCTAAAGGATGAACTGCAGCCTTTGCATTCTGTGTAAAACTGGGAGTATTAATAACAAATTTCTCAATGTTATTTAAATGCTTATTCATAAAGTTTTTATTTGGGCATTTTATGATTGATTGTAATGAATTTTCTGAGCAATTTTACTGCCATATAACACTGACTGGTGCTTTAAATACTTTTCATGGGTGCACAATCCCAGTTTAAAATTATAATTACATAGAAGCATCATTTTAAGAGTGTACATTTTGGGGCGCCTGGGTGGCTCAGTCGTTAAGCGTCTGCCTTCGGCTCAGGTCATGATCCCAGGGTCCTGGGATCGAGCCCTGCATCCCTGCTCAGCGGGAAGCCTGCTTCTCCCTCTCCCGCTCCCCCTGCTTGTGTTCCCTCTCTCGCTGTGTCTCTCTGTCAAAAAAAAAAAAAAAAAAAAAAAAATTAAGAGTGTATGTTTTATTCGGAATTTTGGGGGTTAATTTTTTTCCTAGTCTTGTTTTACAATTCCATAACACTGCTTCCTTTTGTATGATAGTTTCCACAATATTAATTTACTGTGTTTTTGTTTTATCTATGTTTTATGTTTTTGGATAACAATTTTCAACTCAGTACATTTGAAGACAGTGTAGGATTTTTTTTTTTTTTTAAATTTTATTTATTTATTTGAGACAGAGAGAATGAGAGACAGAGAGCATGAGAGGGAGGAGGGTCAGAGGGAGAAGCAGACTCCCTGCCGAGCAGGGAGCCCGATGCGGGACTCGATCCCGGGACTCCAGGATCATGACCCGAGCCGAAGGCAGTCGCTTAACCAACTGAGCCACCCAGGCGCCCCGACAGTGTAGGATTTAATTCAAATAGGAATCAGCCATGTATCAATTACCAATAAAATTATGTGTACATTTGTCTTATAAATATTATCCATATATTCTTTGTTCATGACTTTGGTACCCAGATGGGAGTCTCTCCAGGTTCCTCGTGCTGTGGTAAAGAACACTGAGCAAGTGTAGAGATGCAAACAGATAGAAACTGATTGTTTCCATGGCATCTGGTCATTAGAAAAACATGAAGAGTCATGATCCCTACACCCGGGAACCTTTAATCTAGAGCAATGGGTATATGGTTGAATTCAGGATTGTAGGGTCAGTGCAAGGAAGCAGTAATATACAGGGGACTTTGCTTCAGTTGGGACAGTTCCCTTTCTGTGTTGTGTGTTTCTGCTTCACCCTGATGGGTCATCCATGAACCAAAGCACTTTTATTAGCAGTAGTAGTAGCATTTATTTTACATTCTTGTTAAGAATAAAAGATTCCTGGGGCGCCTGGGCGGCTCAGTTGGTTGGGCATCCGACTTGGTTTCAGCTCAGGTCGTGATCTCAGAGTCATGGGATCGAGCCCTGCATCGGGCCCTGTGCTCAGTGTGGGGTCTGCTGGAGATTCTCTCTCCCTCTCCCTCCCCGCCCCCCACTTGTGCAAACTCACTCACTCTCTCTCTTCCTCTCAAATAAATACATAAATCTTAAAAAAAAAAAAAAAGTTTCTAACATAATTGTTCCAGAAATTCTAAATGTTTGTGTTAAGTTGATTTTTATTTTATTTTATGAAGTAGACAGGAAAGTGACTAAATAGATTAAAATAATATGAACTCTCAGAGTTAAATTTCTGTTGGGCAGGCTTTGGAATGACAAAGCTGGAATTATCCCAGAGGCTAGGAGATCAGAGCCTATAGCGAGCTCTCCCATAGCCCAGATCAGATCAAATCCCCTTCTGAGGCTGTGTCCAGGTCTGGCCTGGCTCTGGAGCTCCTCCCTTCCCAGGACAGATTAGAGGAGATCAGATTCTGAGTGGCTGCTCCTTTCATCTCTCCAGGGCTGGTGCTCACGACTCCTGAAACCCAGAAGCAGATAAATAGCGGAAAAGGATTATATATATTAGTGTCTTAATTTCTCTTTTTCCCGTTAAATCTTGTGTTTCAGGAGCCTTTTGCCCATAATCCTGTTTTCCATTCCTGTAGATTTAGCTGTTGCTCAAGTTACAAAATATAAATATATGTATACATTATGATATGATTATAACAATCTAGCTAATTAGTATGTCCATCACCTTATATAGTTAGGATTTTTAATTTTTAATTAATTTTTGTTGAGAACATCTAAGATATACTCTCTTAGCAAATTTCAAATATAATAGACCTATCTGTATTCTCCATGCTGTACTTTAGATCTCCAGAATGTATTCATCCTGAAGAGCTGAATCTTTGTACCATTTGACCAACATCTCTCACTTCACCCACAGACAGCTCATGGCAGTCACAATTGTACTCTGCTTTTATGATGAGTTCCACTTTATTAGATTCCAGATATAATGAGATAATACAGTAATTGCTCTTGTGTATTGGCTTATTCCACATAGCATAACTTCTTCTAGGCTCATCCACATTGTCCCAAATGGAAGGATGTCCTTTTTTTTTAAGGCTGAATTTTATATATACATATAATCTCACATTTTCTTTAACCATTTCTCCTAGAAAGCAGGGAAACAAGGAGATGCCACTTTGCATTTTCTAGAATGGCTAAATTTGAAAACAAAACAAAACAAAACAAAATTGGTAACACCAAATTTTAGTAAAAATGTAGGGATTAAAATGATCACATATTGCGGATGGAAGTGTACAAAGTACATCCAGTTAGGAAAACTCTTATTTATGAACTCAAACATTTTTCTATCCTATTAAAAAATGTAATCATGGGGTGCCTGGGTGGCCCAGTTGGTTGGGCATCTGCCTTCAGCTCAGGTCAGGATCTCCAGGTCCTGGGATGGAGCCCTGAGTCAGGCTCCTTGTTCAGGGAGCCTGCTTCTCCCTTTCACCCTGTCTGCTGTTCCCCCTGCTTGTGCTCGAGTGCGCTCTCTATCTCTAGCTATCTCTCTCTATCAAAATCTTTAAAAAAATAAAAATTAAAAAATGTAATCACAACAATGAAAACTTTCCGAACTTCTAATCTACCCTTTCTTTCTGTATTCTTCCATTCATATTTATTTAGTTCTTACTGTATACAAGCTGGGTTTTTTTTAATCCAATAGGGAAACTGAGGACAAGGCAGATAGGTAGGGCCCAGTATCTACATCCTCATAGTTATTATAGGACACCTAGTGCCCAGCTCGCAGGGTATTATGCGAATGAAATTATATGTGTGAAGTTCCCAACACGGTGCACCATAACTTCCTTGTGAACAGAAAATTAATGCTCAATCAACATTGCAGTAATTGCAGTAATCAATGTATAGATGTTCTTTTCCAAAAAGAGACTTACTCAGATATTAGTGCATTCACTAGCCTTTCTGTAATCTTTAAAGTGCTATGAAAGCATATAGTCCCTCAGGATGGTGATTGTAGTCTCTGCTGGGAACCGACAGTAAACTCACAACAGTGAAAAGTAAACTCTTTCCTGGGAACTCCCCAGGAGTTGTTTGTGTTGACGTAGATGGTGGGTGTGGGGGGCTCAGGTGCGCTGTGCCTGCATTCTCTAGTGTCGCCACTAAACGAGGGTCCCCAGGAACAGCATCAGCACTAACAAGTACTTGGGAAAGATGCCAATTCTCAGACCCCATTCCCAACCTGCAGAATCACCATTTCTTCTGTGGGACCTGGAACACCGAATGATTTCTGTGCACAATGAAATGTGAAACACATCATCGTTTATCAGCCTGGGTTTACAGTAAAGATCCCAGGGTGAGTTTTAAGAACCACCATCACCTGGGCCCTCTGCCAGAGTCTGTCTATTGGTCAGGGTGAGAACATCAGTGCTGCTTTAACTATGTGCCCCAGGTGATTCTTAGTAGGTCAGGGTGAAGCACAAGGATTCACAGATATATTTGTGAGAGCTGCTTTCAGTTGAAGAGAAGGTATCAGAGTGTTCGGCCTTCCCTTGGAAGGGGCAGGTCAGTGCAGCCCCCGTTCCCTGTGGCAGGATTTGTGGCTGTCTGTGGGAGGGGAGGACATCTGAAACCGGGAAGGAGGAACACACACAAGTGTCCCCGTAGGAGCTCCTTTTTTCTGAATCTTTCCCGTGACAAAGCAAAGGAGAGGGTGGCCTTTTGTGCATTTCAAGATCCTTCTGCCTCTGAGGTGATGTGAGTGAAGAGGCCATGCTAAGATCTTTAAAGGCTTACAGGTGGGATTTCTCTATATAATCTCACCTGAGAAAGAAACCTGTAACAGAAGGGAGAGGAAGAAATGGCTGCTTCTCAGGTAAATCTTGTCTTGATTTAGCTCAGGGGCTGTGTCCTCATTTCTTACTGAAATGTATAGTTAGAAGGTGTAAAAATTGACTTCTCTACCTCTGGGGTTCTTGCCTAGGAAATTTGTTGTTTATAATAGTAAGTTCTTTAGATATTCTTTTGGTTTTTTTTTTTTAAGATTTTATTTGGGGTGCCTGGGTGGCTCAGTCGTTAAGCGTCTGCCTTTGGCTCAGGTCATGATCCCAGCGTCCTGGGATAGAGCCCCATATCGGGCTCCCTGCTCAGCGGGAAGCCTGCTTCTCCCTCTCCCACTCCTCCTGCTTGTGTTCCCGCTCTCCCTCTTCCCAAATAAAGATTTTATTTATTTGACAGAAAAGAGAGAGAGAGCGAGAGAGCGTGAGCGCAAGCAGGGGGAGCAACAGAGGGTGAGGGAGAAGCAGGCTCCCAGCTGAGCAGGGAGCCTAACACGGGGCTCAATCCCAGGACCCTGGGATCATGACCTGAGCTGAAGGCAGATACTTAACTGACTGAGCCACCCAGGTGCCCCTAGATATTAGTCTTTTATATCCTGGGGCCATCTCTCCATTCTCTTGAACAAGGTTTTCTATATAGTCTGAAGAATTCCTACCATGAATTCAAGACCTGTAACTATTGAAAATATTCCCTCTGTGATGGATCAACATGGGGATGTGTTGGTACCCAAGATTCTCACTGGAGATGGGTTGGGTTTGGGGACTCCAGTGAAGGAGGGGTGTATATATAATATTTAGGTTCTGTCTTGGTATGGCCTGAGTCTATGGAAACTAGATTGAGGAAAGGTCAACAAGGTGGCTATTGGGCCCCCAGAATAACTCAACATTCTGAAAAAGAAAGCCTTGCTGTCTAGATTGCTTCAAAGAAAGACTTACTATTTAAAATACATTAAAGACTATAGGATATGGGAGCTATGTGTCACTTGAAATGTGCATAAAACTGTTTTCTCATGATTAGAATCCTATTATGAATTAATATTTTGCAAACAATATTATAGCAGTGATGAGTCCTTGTATGTGCATCAGGCAGCTGATATCAATTTGTCTCATTACAGCTGTTAATTTTGTTGACTTGGTTGAGGGTCTCTCTGCCAGATTCCCCCTCTATAAAGTTAGTATTGTTCCCATTATCATTAATAAGAATCTGGAAGGGATTTACTGAAAGGTGTGCATAAACCATCATATTTAATGTGGAAACTCCCATCTTCTAGTTTCTCTTTCTAGTAGTTTGCTTTGGAAAATGAAGTCCCTCATATTTGATTTGTGGAGATCCTGGCTTTTGTAAGCAAAGGTTCTAAATTAGTCCTTGGTCCAGTAAGGTTCCATTTTATTACCCTTAATGTCACACACATTTTCTTCTTTCTTTGCTTTTATTTTCAGCAAAAGGAAACAAGCATTGTATAATTTCTGTATGTTCAAATATCTTAAATTCTATAGTGTAACTCAGCACAAATGATAAATGAAATCATTCTAAGGAATTAACTAGGCATTTGTTGGTGTAAAGAAGGAAATGTTAAGATGAAACCTCATGAATCTTCCCCTTTTCTGAAGTTACCTCTAACCATCACTCTAGGGTAGTGATAATTCATTAAATGGCATAGAATATTGTTGCCCACACCTTAAAATTAATATCTGTTCCTTATTTTTGATTCAGTAGTTCTTGAAAGTGGAGTTAAGGAACTGAAATTGAAAATGCCTAAGTATTCTGAAGAGGCCATCAGGAAACAGCATTTGGAGAAATAATTTTCTACAACTTTCTGTAATGTGCTCTTTTCTCTACTGTGCATAGTGCTGGATTTGAAATTGAAGATTTTCCAGCAAGAGTCATGTTTCTTTTCCTTATGAACAGGTCTTGCTGTTTCTAGCCTGAATCTGGTCACCTTGTTTGGAAGAGGAAAGAGCCCTAGGACATAAAGAGGAAGGAGGCAGTAGTCATACACCCAGGTAAGTGTATTGGAATTTTTGATGTGTGGACTTTCAATGGACACCCCAATAATGGAAGACAGGATGCTACCTGTTACTTTGGAAGTTTTGTTTTAACAAGAAAGGTGAAGCTGACTCACCAAATTGTAAGTCATCTGCTCACCTTTATCTCAGTATGAGCCTCAGAAAAGTGGGGATGCCAATTCAGGACCCCCCAGGAGGTGGACCTGCCACGAACTCTGTTCTTGGAGCTGTTCTGAAAAGGGAAGATCAGGGACTGCTACTGGCGCTGTGGAGGGCAGTTTTGTGGTTGCAGGTCATTTTTTTTTTTTTAAGGATTTTATTTGACAGAGAGAGACACAGTGAGAGAGGGAACACAAGCAGGGGGAGTGGGAGAGGGAGAAGCAGGCTTCCCGTGGAGCAGGGAGCCCGATGCAGGGCTCGATCCCAGGACCCTGGGATCATGACTTGAGCCGAAGGCAGACGCTTAACGCCTGAGCCACCCAGGCGCCCTGGCAGTTTTGTGGTCGGAGGACATTTTTGATAAATCTGAACTGACAATTCTCTATTAGGCTCTGCAAGCCCCATTTTGACACAGGGATGTATCTGATGCAAATCCTGGGCAGCTGAGCTCTGTGCCCACAATGTTAGGCCTGAAGTATGAAACAGGAATCCGGGGTCATCAGAAGGTCCACTGGGAGATGGGACTGATGGGTGCCTTATGCATTTATATTGCACAGGGTGACCTGGGTGGCCAGTCCCTGATCCCCATCTGCTTTGAGGTCCCCTGCATTGTAGGAGGTGCGGAATTATTGTCCTTGAGGGGTTCACCCGTGTTCTCTGTGTGCATGTGTGAAGTTTTGGCAATAGGAAGGCAGAAACGGGAGAGGGCATCAAAAACTCTTAAGTATGATAACAACCTTGGTCAAAGGGAGGACTGGTCCGTCCATAGACTCTGGTTCTAGCTTGCCTGAACTGGGAATTCAGGTGTGTGGGCTTGGTTAAGATGGGATTCAGGGCTGGTGTTCTGGGGACCTGGGCTGGTGAAGGGAGGAACACATGACTGTGGGTTTGGCTTTGAGAACGGCAGTGTCCTCTATGTGCCAGAAGTCCTCTTTGCGCATGTGCAACACTTGGTGGAACACGATCTGCTCAGGCGCTGGGGCGAGCCATTACCAAGAGTGAAGTCCAAGCAAGTGAGGGCAGAGTTATGTCGGTGTGTTGTGTGCATGTGCAAAAGTGGGTGGAGAGGGGCAGGGGAAGGCCTTACTCTGAGTCTTGTTTCCACTTTCCAAGTGGGCAAGATGTTCAGGCCAGATGATAAGTGTTCAAAATGAAAGGTGGTGGTGGTAGAAGATGAACTGATGATGTACATTCAGATTTTTTTTTTTTAAGATTTTATTTATTTATTTGAGACAGAGAGAATGAGAGAGAGCACGAGAGGGAAGAGGGCAGAGGGAGAGACAGACCCCCTGCCAAGCAGGGAGCCCGATGTGGGACTCGATCCCGGGACTCCAGGATCATGACCTGAGCCGAAGGCAGTCCCTTAACCAACTGAGCCACCCAGGCGCCCCATGTACATTCAGATTTTTAAGGATTAATTTGGCCAGTTAATCTGTCTATCCAAATGGTTAGGCATGGTCCACCTATAGGAGATAGCGGTAAGGTTTTTCCAGAGAGGAAAAACAAAAAGCGAAGACCGTGTCTGATCGGATATACCTTAGGCAGTTGCCTTATTTTTGGAAGGCCTAGTTGACTGTCATTGTTCTTAAGTTCATTTTCTTCCATTCCAGTGCAGTGACTGTGGAATAAGTTGCGGTTTGTTTATAGAGGTTACCAAGGCATTAGAGCCACCTGAGTCTAATGGCTTCCCTGTTAAATTTCTTTAACACTGGGGCGCCTGGGTGGCTCAATCAGTTAAGCATCCGCCTTTGGCTCAGGTCATGATCCCAGGAGCCCCGCGTCGGGCTCTCTGCTTGGTGGGGAGTGTGCCTCTCCCTCTCCATCTGCTTCTCTCCCAACTCGCACTCTCACTCACACTTCCAAATAAAATCTTAAAAAAAAAAAAAAAAATTTATCTAACAGTGGAAACACAATTGGTAGGATATTATACGTTTTTAAATCCATTTGCGGGGCACCTGGGTGGCTCAGTCAGTTAAGTATCTGCCTTCGGCTCAGGTCATGATCTCAGGGTCGTGGGATCGAGTCCCGCATCGGGCTCTCTGCTCTGCGGAGAGCCTGTTTCTCCCTCTCCCTCTGCTGCTCCCTCTGCTCTTCTCTCTCTCTGTCAAATAAATAAATAAAATCTTAAAAAAAAAATCCATTTGCAAGGGTAGTTTAGCAATTGTCCACCCATTGTAAGAATGCACAGTCATGAAGGTGCAACAATCTCATGTCCCAGAACTACCCAGTTAAGTCACATGTGTATAAATCAGAGAGCCACATTTCATGAGGTGTGTAATAGGAGACAGATAACGTTCAACTATGTAATTGTATAAATAAGAGTGTTTCAACAAGGGTGTTATATTTATAATTACCGTGGGATATGATGTGTTTTTGTGTTGCTATAGATCCATTTCTACTGGTGTGAAAATGCCACCTTCATGCAGCATTGATTAAGGAAAGCAATTTGATTGACAGTAAGTTTGATATGATAATAATGTAAACATTGAACCAAGAACAAAATGTTTTCATGTCTGTGGGTGTTATACTCTGAAATTGCATAAGAGGGAGGAACCACCTCAACCTGACAAACTGTTATGTCTGAAGATCAAACTATTACTGATTGGGGGTAATTAATGGGAATTTTTACTTTAAATATTTTATAAGTTTATACTTTTTTAATTTTTAGTTTACAATTAATGATATGCCCGTGTGTAGTTGTTTTCTATCACTACTATAACCAATTGCAGGTATTTAAGAGCCAACAAAAACATGACTTTGTTGTTTATATGTCTGAATTTCAGTGGGTTTGGCTGGGATTTCTCGTTAGTTAGGGCTTTATAAGGCTAAAATTAATGTTTCATGAGGCATTGGATCTTCTCAGGAATCTCTGGGTCACCTGTCACTTCCAGGACCATTCAGTTGTCAGTAGAATCCACTTCCTTCTTATGGTTGCCATGTGACCCCCTACATGGTCACACCTTGTGCATGGTATCCCCAAAGAAGAGAGAAATCATTGACTCTCATTGTTTACTCAAAATTTGGTCCTTTACTGTATATTTAATTGAAAGGATTTCTGGGTATTTTATGTAAGTAAGGTTATTGTCTCATGGGCTAAAATTAGAAACCGTTGACAATTATGAATCAAGTGCAAATCAGAATTAATGAGTAGGAGAATGAATTAATGACCTCCAGTTGAACCCCTGCAACTTCGGTCACCCCCAGTTCCACCTCTCTCTATCCCCCACTGTGACCTCAATATCTCCACCCTTCTGACCTTTAGATATCCACAAGACCTCAATCTTTCCCTGCAAATGACCCTTCCAGTCTTCTTCCTTGCTCTTCTAAGTCCATCAGGTGCATTTTAGACTTCTATACCAATAAACTCCTTTTCGCCTGATCTCAGAGGCCTCAGCCCAAACTTCCTCCCCTTCTGTTGTCCTCAAATATTCCATCCTCCATTATTTCATCCTTCTCCACTGCCATTTATCTTCCCCCATTCCATGACTTCAGCCCATTTATTGTGTCCTTTATGTCCACTGCCATCATTTATCAGGAATCCTTAGTTTCCTCATGACCCCACTCCCTAAGTCTTTCTCATGGGCCCTTTCACTTACTGATGCCTGCTATTATTGCAGGTCTGATGATCCCCCTCCACCCACGTTAACTACCTGTGTCCATTATGTTCCCAAGGCCTCAGCTTTTCTTCCTATCCTTTATCTCTGGTTAGAGCACTGAATACCCCCTGGACTCCATTCACAAGCAACTATCCCCCTTCCATCCCTATATTCTTTAACCCTTCATAGGCAATAAGGTTTGCATGCTCTTTACCCAATCTTGCCTCTTAATTCCCTTTTGCCAATTAATTCCTCATCCATTATCCCCTTCCTTCCCATGATTTCCTTCACCCTTTTATCCCCATCACACACACAAAACAGTGTGTGATGATGAAGGCAGAGACTGAGAGCTGCATCTACTAGCTGAGGAGGGCCAAGGATAGCTGACAGTCCCCAGAAGGTAGAGGGAAGACTCAATTCTTGAGAAAAAGTGTGGCCCTGTCAACAACTTGACTTCAGACATTGAAGAACCCCCAGAACTCTGAGACTGTAATTTTTTGGTTTGTTTAGCTACCCAGTTGTGCTAATTCGTTACACCAGCCCTAGGAAACTAACCCAGGTCCTGTCCTTTCTTCCCCTGTGGCTCTGTTACCCCAAGCCCCCAGCCTCTGTGCACTCCATTTATCCCTGTGCCCTCATTCTGACTTCACTGTATCACTCCCCATCTTTATGCCAAGCACCTTGACCCAAAGGGGCAGTGCTCTTTACTCTTTGTGGCACATGTTGTGAATATGGTCCTTGTGGAGGTTTGCTATGTTGGAAAGAGTAGAAAGAGCTTTTGTTTTCATACATCCAGGGGACTGTAGTTAATCTTATTTTTTTCCATATACAAACACTTCTGTCATGTAACTGGATGAGATTTTTGTGAATCCGAGAGTGACTGTGTGAGTTTGTGCGGTCATAAGTGTTTCACTAGGAGTATGTTGAAAGGGAGCCTGTATGTGGTGTGTGTGTGTCTCTGAATGTGGGACTGAGTGAGTATGCAAGTGACTGTGTGTGAGTATATGTGATTCTGTAGTTGAATGTTTGAGTGTTAATACAGGCTTGTGGTTGTACCTGTGTGTAGATGTGGTCTCTGTGTGTATAGAATATAAGTTGTCTCCTATTATGGCTCTAATCCATGCCTTGGGATTGTGGTGACTCTGGGAAGGAGACAGGGATCAAATATGGATAGGTTTCCTTGAAATTTGAAAGGTTTGAAGTTACTTTTTCAGTGTTTCTTCAATAATTAGAAAACTAAAGCCCATTACAAAAATGTGAGAACTATGGCAACTATTCAGTGCTCTTAAACTCAGTAGAAATAAATTTAATTATATTTTTTAAAATAGCAGAATCTTCTTTTATTCCCCTTCAGAATCTGCTTATTAAACTTTTTTCCTCATTTGTTTTTGTGACTCTTTTATAACATTTGCTGTCTTCATGGATATTGTTCTGTTTAGAATTGCTATTAATCCTGGGACCAATATTGTTAGATTATATTTTCCCACCAAATGCTCATATTATTTAATTTCCAAACTGATTTTTTAAAAATTTTATTATGTTATGTTAGTCACCATACATCAGTGGTTTTTGATGTGGTGATCCACGATCCATTGTTTTCGTATAACACCCAGTGCTCCATGCAGTACGTGCCCTCCTTTATACCCATCACCGGGCTAACCAATCCCCCCCTCCCCTCTAAAACCCTCAGTTTGTTTCTCAGAGTCCATAGTCTCTCATGGTTCATCTCTCCCTCCAATCCCCACCCCCCATTTTCCCCTTCCTTCTCCTAATGTCCTCCATGCTATTCCTTATGTTGCACATGTAAGTGAAACCATATGATAATTGACTTTCTCTGCTTGACTTATTTCACTTCGCATAATCTCCTCCAGTCCCATCCATGTTGATGTAAAAGTTGGGTATTCATCCTTTCTGATGGCTGAGTAATATTCCATTGTATATATGGACCACATCTTCTTTATCCATTCATCTGTTGAAGGGCATCTCGGCGCTTTTCACAGTTTGGCTATTGCGGACATTGCTGCTCTGAACATTGGGGTGTATATGGCCCTTCTTTTCACCACATCTGTGTCTTTGGGGTAAATCCCCAGTAGTGCAATTGCTGGGTCATAGGGTAGCTCTATTTTTAAATTTTTGAGGCACCTCCACACTGTTTTCCAAAGTGGCTGTACCAACTTGCATTCCCGCCAACAGTGTAAGAGGGTTCCCCTTTCTCCACAACCTCTCCAACATTCATTGTTTCTTGCCCTGTCCATTTTTGCCATTCTAACTGGTGTAAGGTGGTATCTCAGTGTGGTTTTGATTTGGATTTCCCTGATGGCTAATGATGATGAACATTTTTTCATGTGTCTATTAGCCATTTGTATGTCTTCTTCAGAGAAGTGTCTTTTCATATCTTCTGCCCACTTTTTGACTTGATTGTTTTTTGGGTGTTGAGTTTGAGAAGTTCTTTATAGATCTTGGAAACCAGCCCTTTATCTGTAGTGCCATTTGCAAATATCTTCTCCCATTCTGTGGGTTGCCTCTTTGGGTTTTTTTGTTGTTTTTTTAAAGATTTTATTTATTCATTAGAGACAGAGAGAGAGAGGCAGAGGGAGAAGCAGGCTCCCCGCCTATCAGGGAGCCCAACGTGGGACTCGATCCCAGGACCCTGGGATCATGACCTGAGCCGAAGGCAGACGCTTAACCATCTGAGCCACCCAGGCGCCCTGCCTCTTTGTTTTGTTGACTGTTTCCTTTGCTGTGCAGAAGCTTTTTATCTTGATAAAGTCCCAAAAGTTCATTTTTGCTTTTGTTTCACTAGCTTTTGGAGATGTATCTTGAAAGAAGTTGCTGTGGGTGATGTCAAAGAGGTTACTGCCTATGTTCTCCTCGAGGATTTTGATGGATTCCTGTCTCACATGGAGGTCTTTCATCCACTTTGAGTTTATCTTTTTGTGAATGGTGTTAGAGAATGGTCGAGTTTCATTCTTCTGCATGTGGCTGTCCAATTTTCCCAGCACCATTTATTGAAAAGATGGTCTTTTTTCCATTGCATGTTTTTTCCTGCTCTGTCAAAGATTATTTGACCATAGAGTTGAGGGTCCATATCTGGGTTCTCTATTCTGTTCCATTGGTCTGTATGTCTGTTTTTGTGCCAGTACCATGCTGTCTTGGTGATCACAGCTTTGTAATATAGCTTGAAATCGGGCAATGTGACGCCCCCAGCTTTGTTTTTCTTTTTCAACATTTCCTTGGCGATTCAGGGTCTTTTCTGATTCCATACAAATTTTAGGATTGTTTGTTCCAGCACTTTGAAAAATGTCGTTGGAATTTTGATCGGGATGGCATTGAAGGTATAGATTGCTCTGGGTAGCATAGACATTTTAACAATGTTTATTCTTCTGATCCATGAGCATGGAATGTTTTTCCATCTTTTTGTGTCTTCAATTTCTTTCATGAGTGTTTTGTAGTTCCTAGAGTATAGATCCTTTACCTCTTTGGTTAGGTTTATTCCGAGGTATCTTATGGTTTTTGGTGCTATTGTAAATGGAATCGTTTCTCTAATTTCTCTTTCTACAGTTACATTGTTAGTGTATAGGGAAGCAACTGATTTCTGTGCATTGATTTTGTACCCTGCCACATTACTGAATTGCTATATGTGTTTTAGTAATTTGGGAGTGGAGTCTTTTGGATTTTCCACATAAAGTATTATGTCGTCTGCGAAAAGAGAGAGTTTGACTTCTTCTTTGCCAATTTGAATACCTTTTATTTCTTTTTGTTGTCTGATTGCTGTTGCTAGGACTTCTAGTACTATGTTGAACAACAGTGGTGAGAGCAGGCACCCTTGACGTGTTCCTGATCTTAAGGGAAAGGCTCTC